AGTATGCGCAAAAATATACCAAACGATATGTAAGAAAATTGTGCACGATTAGCTAGGAGAAAGTTTTGTTTCTGTGGGAGCATTTTTATTTTCTGGATCAATTTTGGAAGTTTAGTGGAGAGCTTATAAGATTGAATGTTTTATCAACAACGGTGATGCTCGCTGCTTGCAATGCTAATATAGTCGACTAATTTCATCTTCAGAAAAAAAGTGCAGTTCAGAAGCTGGGAACTTTTTAGAATCTTAGAACAGATTTTTCATTGTTTTGAGAAATGTAGACATTTTTATTATCTACTTTTAAGATGAGTACATTATTTAGGAAACTTTTCTCACTTGATATGCGCTCAAGTTTTACGTGCTCGTTTCCATTTCAAGACATGTAAAAATTCTTTCTACTAAGAGAAATACTGAAAAATTTCTTCAGTAATACGTCGAATAGAAAGTAAAACGTTTTCTTTTGTGAATAAAACGTAGTTTTAGGTCGATCCATGAATGAAGAAACTAAGTGTCATGGCAATTCTAAAACCATTTAATGACTACAAAGATAAACGAAAAAGAAATAAATATATGTTGTATTATAAAGCAGTCCAAAATGTGCTTGCTCTGTGAAAAATGTGGCTTCCTGGTTGAAACGTGAAAGATTTTGCAACATATGGGCTTTCTTCAGCTAAGATCATTCGAATAGAAGCCATTTTAGTATTATTTCATCATTTCATGATAATAATGTTTTCCCAAAACCTAAGAATACCGAAAAAACTTACCTGATTTCATTGCGATCTGCGCTATAATCATCGTATGTAAGTTGATAAAATCCTCCGAAATTGCAGTGACCAACAATCGACCGTTCATTTCTAATCAAATGAATCATACTTTGACATTCGACTGGTATAAGTGTCGTAAAAGACCTCATGAAATATTCAAAACATGTTGTCAGATTGTATTGTTCTGAGCGAGGACTCGAAAATACTCAAAAAGAAATGTTATTCTTGAATATTTCTTATTGACTGAGGAAAAACACAAAAATGCACAAGACTTATCTATTCGGCTAAGGTTTCGACGCGCTTCTTCTTCTCCACAGCTGTAGATAGAATTCAGAGATTTCAGTCGATTGGTCACAATCGTTCGTCCTCATTGTTGCCCATGGCCTCAGTAGATTGAGTTCTAGCAGAATATTCAAAGCAAAAAGTATCACATAAGAGTAAGTAAAACTAAAGTAAAGGTGTGTGACTACAATTGAAATCATTTTCAAAAGAAACCTTCTTAAACACGATAACTTGTATTTTTTATTGCTATATTGATACTTCGAATATTTGCTTGTGTTTTAGTGTATTTTCATTGTATTTATATTTCTTCCAAAATTTCTTTTTGAGTTTTCCCCATAGGATATCTATTAAAATTGTAAAAGTATATAATTCAAATTTCTCATATTTTTTACAGCTTATCGCAGTGTTATGATGTTCCAAATTTTCCTAAGAGAATTGAGTGGTAAGCTAACATTAGGTTTATATAACGACATTGCTTACCGAACCAGACCTGTTGATGGTTGGTGGCTTTAAGTATGACAGAAAGGTATTGAAGAATGAGCGATGAACAAGATGTGGTTTCGATGGTGTGGTGGTAGCACACGTCCTCGGTATGGATGAAACGCAGTTGCAACTCCCGCGCGAAGTCAAATTTTTGCGCACCACCCAGTTCTTTTAGGAAAAACTGCAAGCATTTGAAAGCGTTGGTTTTCTTAGAAAGGCATAATGAAGATAAATAATTGCCAAGTTGTAAGTTCATAGTTTTATACTAACACTTTCGATAAGGAAAAATATACATTTCGTAAGACTTTTAAGTCACAAATCTTATTATATTCTTTATTTTGAAAAGCCCTGATGTAGTATTCATTAACTAAGAATACCTATATTTCTACTACCATAAAAAGTCTCAAATATGTTGATCTGATTATTTCCAAATGCTAAAGATTAAGGTGCCTATTTATGAAATTGATTCATTTGAGTTAATAGTTGTTCCGAACACCAACTTGTCATTTCGATTTTTGATTGAAATTTCAAAAATAGCAAAAAAGGTGATAAAACTGATTAACTATAAAACGATAATAACTCATACTCTTGCGGTTTCTTACTTGAAAAAATTTCCATTTATTGAGTAGTCAACGACTACAATCAATTATGGAGGATTTCCCTTTGCGGACGGCGCCACTTTTGGCTGGCGGGTGCTTCGGTCTGCTACGAAGAGAGGCTGCCGGCGCTTGCTTCAAATCTAATGTGATAGTTTCCTGATAGAATTTATGATTTCTCGTCTTTAGATGGGATTTCCGTGTCAGTAAATAGCCGATTTTTAATGAAAGTAACTTCAATAATTTGATTTTTACTAGAAATAACGTAATTGCCCTAGTCATAATCAACACTTTGAAAGAGAAAGACCAAGTATTCATGGAAAGGCTATATTTAGAAGCTTTATCAAACATTTTCGCAATTTTTCTATCCATACTTTTCTACAATTGAGTAAAATATATCTTCAACTTCTATCAGTTTCACATACTTTAGTACCTAAAGTACATAAAACTCATCATGCCGGCTGAAAATTGAAAAATAATGTATAGTTCGTCAAAAATAGTGCTGCTTATTGCACGCCATCCCGCTTCATCGATATTCCTCAATATTTTATTTTGATTGTCATGTATTTCAGATTCGCATTTCTCAAATCCACACGTAATTTCGTTCGAATTCTTCATTCATAGTTAGGTATGCGAAGAAGAGATGGAGGTATGGCGGTTTTTCTCCATTTTCTTGAGCCTGTTAGAGTCTTTTGGTAGACACGTATTCTTTGCTATTGTAAAACATTTTAAGAACTTGAATGATGTATTTTAACACTTAAATACCTATTTTTTCGCTGTAACAGTCGTAAAAAATTTTGTTCTACATCCAAGCATTTATTGCCTAATTAGGGGTTTTTTTCATAGATAATTAATGTTCATCAGATAGGCGAATCAAAGCAATTTGAACGGTGTACTTAATCTTTGATCCGAAGTTCCGGCTTACGTCAACGATCGAGAATCAGAGACGCCGTTCTACACGCCAGGATATCGAAATATGGTGGCCGAACACGTGATGCGCTTCTACGACAACCGGTAGATGAGAGCCATTACCGACTGGATTCCTCGGGACATCAAGCGCTCTATAGGAAGACCACCGACCCAATGGTCCGATTTCTTTTTGAAAATTGGATGACTTTCGATGTCCGTTTTTTGTTCTGACTTCTTGGGGAAACGAGTTTTCTACTTTTCCTAAATTTATAGTAGCTATTCGATAGTTTTGGACCTCGAAAATTTTGATGATATACTTTATTTCATAATGGCTTCCTTTATGCTCTCTAACAGTATCAATTAGAACATCTTTTGCGCCAAGAATTTCCCACTGAACAAAGCTCTTACACTGAACCTCTAATGATTCTTCGACAGATTCACTATCAACGATTTCCATAATAAGTTTGTCCTTGAAAGTAACTCCTTATTGTACTGTTGCAATCAAAAGATGATTACCTATCGAAGTTAGTTGATATGTTGCTAAAGGCACGTTGCTGGGGCCAATGTCCCGAAATCCTATCCTTCGGAGTGCGAGACCCAATACTCTTTTGACTGTCACCTCTCTCTGAAAAGTCATGTCCAAAAATAAACAACGTCTTTGAAATTGCTGATATTTGCCTATCGGATGATTATTGACCGTTCATAAAAAATACTTTATCCGACGAGAAATCTTCAAATGCGAAACAAAATTCTATTTCGACTGTGGCAGCGCAAAAGATAGCCAATTTGAGAAACAAAATGCGCCATTCAAATCCACTTGATTTCAGCTGTCGAATGAATGCGAATAATCTAGTGGAATGAGTCTTTTCTGGAAAAAACCAAGGGTTCAAGTGCGCACTTCTTGAAATAGAAGTACGTCTAGGTATATTCTACCATTGATAGTTGAAGTTTTATTTTTCAGCAAAACAAGTCTATAGCAATCAAAATGTAACCATCTAATTTAAAACCGCTATAAATTGGAAAATTGGATTGCGAATGCAAAACGTCATCTTTTATTCAGTAACACAACGTACTGTGGAAATGTTTTCAAGCAACAAGCTTAGCGCTATAATTAGAGTTTTCCAAGCTATCGGCTGACTACAATAACATCAAAAAGATAGAAGAAAATGCTCACTATCAATTGAAAATTTTCTCAAAGATGTGGTTTATTTCCTTTGAAAAAAGAATTTGAGAAGCATTAGCGTTAATCTTGCTAAAATCATTCATACAGACGTCTCATTAGTGATATTTTATCGTTTTTTTTAAAATAACTCTCCTTTGAGAACTTAATTAACCCGAATTTTTATTGGAGCACGCACCACTTCTCGTAACCGTCCAAACGGCGCGTTCACCTGAGAGTCATAATGACCCTTATCGTCCGCAAAAGAATATATCCTTTACATATAGAAAACTCGACGATGAATATGTTACGCTGCGCGAAAAAGTAAAAATTCAACTTCACACTACAATCATAACATATCATTACATTGCCAGCGAAAAGACGGCCTGATATTGCAGTGATTAAGAGTCGATTTCTCGTGGTTAGTAAATTTCATATCAGTTTATATTCGACTGTTTTTTGAGACCTAGTTTAGAACATTATAATTTTTCAGTATATTTAGAGCGCCTATCTTGAGATATGTTATGGTACTTAGTACTGTATGCATGTTTCGGCCTTTCAGCCTTCTGCTAATTGCTTCGCCCTACAAGTACCACTCCACATCCGAACACTGTCGGCATTGTGTCTAGCAGCGGAAACACAAAGGGTGTGATTTGAGGTCTCTCCATGTCTGTCAAAATGTTCGTTTTTTGCTCCTGAAAAACTTCCGAAGTCTGTAGATACACATAGAAATCACTTTATTCGACAGCCACTTGCTGTGGTATGATCTTACGGTTTACCCAATGATGTAGAGTGGTGTGCACAAACGTTTGCGTCAGCTAGGATTCGAACCCATATCTCACTCTTTACGGGAGCGTGTTCTGAATCGTTGCACTACCGACACCTGTTTTTGCACACCACTCTTTCGACGGTACAACGCGTTATCTTCCAATAACCAACCGTCAATGGTCTCGCGGGGTAGTCGTCATCGGCATTGAACCCACATATGTTGACAGATATTGGGTATCAATAATCAATCAGAAATAATTCCACTAGAAGCAAACTTTTTCAATTTTTGAATCAGCTCATTCGGAAGTCAATACGAATTTGGCACTCACCATTTATACGTGTGCGATGTCCTCTGAGTGGCTCCTTGACTTTTTCAAGATCTTTAAGAGTCCCCGACTTTGCTATTAGGTCTTCTCATACGTTTCAACATTAAAGTAGTAAGCGCCAGATATATTGGTCGAAACTAAGTAAAATTACAATACTCAAGAAAATCGCTAAAAGACTGCTTCGCTGCCATCTTCGCACTTCATTTCGAGTTATAGTGGCCACCGTCGACGAAAAGTGATTTTTTTGTTGAAAGTGAACGTCGTTCAAATCAATGGTTGCCACCAGGTTAATATAGAACCCCAACTCCACTTCCAAATCGATTTGTGTTAAAAGCTATGCTTAAGTGTAGCACTTTACATCCGTTTCCGCACACTATCTGAGTCCACCTTTGAATTCAAGCGAAGATAATCGTGTCGAGTTGACGTAGAGTTCTGAAGCACCTCTCATAATGTCATACAATTTTGTCTATTGTTTCACAACACGTATAAAACGAGCGTTTACCTTCGTAATTATTTCTTCGATTTATTAAATGTATCTAAAAGGCTTCAAGACGTTACGCTTTAAATGGTGTCTTTTACTTGAAATTTTCGCTTATTAAGTGTTTGTGTTCTACGCTCACCAAATGCAGTATTTTACGTAACTCTTGCCAACTACTTTTTTTCATACAAACGCAAAGTTTTTTTTTTCGCCGTTTTCCCAATGTATTGTCGCAACACATTTTACAAGAGACTAGTTGAAGGGTATCCTATTTCACGCAATGACCATTTCTACGCTCAAAATATATCCATTCTTTGAGACTCACATTGATTTTCTAAGCGGTGGGATGGCGAGACGAACGCGGCGAGCACAAGGCATTACAATGATATTGTGGTACTTTTCTTGAAATTTAGATTTTTATTACCATTGAAGGGAGTTTAACCGTCAGTAAAAAGTCGAGTATGATAGAAACGACTTCAATAAGACTATTAAGTGAAACACACCAAGAAGTCGCACAAGACAATATTGTTTGTCAGAAATAAAAGTAGATATTGAGATACGATGGCATTTTATTGATAAGTCTTGACAATTTTCAGAAACGAGTGTACATTGAGAGTTAGAAGCTTCAAAGAGTCATGAAAGGGACTTTATGGGTACTAACATCTTATACTATCTGCTTATATTCTGATATGAACACTATTCATCGCTGCTTGTTTACCAAGAAGAACCCAAATAAATGAATGCATAGTCCATCAAAGTTTGCTGCGGCCTCATTAAAAAGTCCCTCTTTATTTGATCTCTTTCTGGAAACCTTCTCTTGTAAAACGTCTGCCTTTGAAAAACAATCAAACAACATTGTCGAAAAAATTTGGGGAAAAAGTTGGAACTATGTTGTTCTGCCAACTCCGTAGCATTGAAGGGTAAAGATATCTATGCCAGTTTGGCATTTTTTCCTACAAAAATATGTCTACAGAAGCTTCACTATCAATGAACTATTTTCTCATAGCGGCAAACTTTTCTCAGAATCAAAATTCACCATGTAGTACGAAAAAATTCGTTGCGAAGTTGAAACAACGCTCTTCCGAGCAAAGCGTTATCCTTTTTCTGATAGGACCTAATATAAAAGTGTTTCGAAAACTAGTGGTGTCAAAATCAAAGTTTCTCAAGTTATTGGTTGACTCAAAATTATGCCCTAAAACAAAGCAAGAAGCATTTTACCTTTCCTTCGAGTGCTTTATTAAGACCAGGCTCAAATTTCAATAGATCCTTTCATTTTTATTTGAGCCAACATGTCATGTGGTCTGGTAAAGGCTCTTGTACAGCCCGAGACACGTGTTTCGTCCTTACAGACTCATCAGCCGGGCAGAACCCGTCGTCTGTCAATCTTTTTATAGTCAGTTCTCTCGGGAGCCTTACACTTCTTATCTAGGATCTATTGAAATTTGAGCTCTTTATTGTAAAGCACTCGAAGGAAAGGTATAATATGATAAATATACCAGCCAGCTAGCAATCGAGTGCGAGAACACTCTGTGTTAGGTGAATGTTTCACCTGAAATAGAGTGTAAAGCGTACGTCGTCGATAACTATATATAAGGAGTGTAAGGCTCCCGAGAGAAACTGACTATAAAAAGATCGACAGTCGACGGGTTCTGCCCTGCTGTTGAGTCTGTAAGGACGAAACACGTGTCTCGGGCTGTACAAGAGCCCTTACCAGACCACATGACATGTTGGCTCAAATAAGAATGAAAGCAAAAAATGTCATATAACAGATAGATTTTTTTTCCGAAACCATTGGGGGTTTTCTCGTTGAATCACAGCAGTTCTTTCGGCACATGGGCGTTCCCTGTGCTAAAAAGCCTCTATAGAAGTCCCATGTTTAATCGGAAAGATGTGCTCTATCCAATGCTTGAAATTTTGTTATAAAAAACTTTTATCAGACGAGTAGTTTTCAAATGTGAAACAAAATCTCATTTTGACTGGTGCAGCGCTAAAAGCAAGCAATGAGAAATAAAATATAGCTTTGAAATTCACTTGATTTGAGCAATCAGATAATTATACATTCGTCAGATAACATCAAAAAATAAGCTTCTACCGAAGGCCTCAAGCGGCTCCGCCATAATAGAATAGTACCAAAAAAGCTAATTTTTCAGTCGTTCTCAATGTTTGAGTAACTATTCAATAACTTCATTCCATAGAGTTTGAATAATTTATTTCATTTCTTGAAAAGTCTTGTTATGCGCTGAAAGAGCAAAAAAATTTGCTTCTCATTCAAAATTTTCTCGTTAACCGAAACATTTCCTTCAAAGTTTTAACAACCAGTCGATAGCTCAAATCTCAGAAATTCCAGTGGATTTTGACTTTTATAAGCGATTTCTTAATGTGCTATAAGAACCAAAAGGAGTTTGAGTTTCGCAAACTGGAACAACCCTCTCATTCGCGCCTTTTTTGGAATCTTGAGGAAAACGCGATTCTTGCTTTTTCCTCAAGTTCCAACAATCATCTTATAGACCAAATCTCAAAAATTACAATGACGCAATCTGTTTTCAATATAGCTGTACTGTTGTGCTATAAAACAAAATAAATTATCATAATCATTACAATATTTCTCGGGTTCTTCCTGATTAAGAGGGAACAGAAAAAAATCCGACTTCATTTGCTGGAGAGGAACCTATGATAGGAATGCCAGAACACATTCGAAAGCTAAAACTCCATGCTATACGTCACCGGTTTTTCAAAACACTCCTTTATAACTGTGTAACATTTGAAATAAAATGATATTCCATAAAACCACGTGTTTCTTTTCTTTTCTCGCTTATATTTCGCTGGGCAATGCTCCTACTTTAGAGTGCTAGTACTCAAGCTATAGCACATGCTTCCAAGTACTTTGAATTGTGCTTGTTTTCTATAGCTCCTCTGATCTTTTAGACTCCTTTGGTCTTTTGGTTTGTGCATTAATCCTTTCGGAACCACGACTTGTAACAGCCACACGCAGTGCGAATCGCAGTCACGATGTGCGATCTGTAGTATTTGATTAGGATTTTTTCATCTTTTGAATGAACTTCTGGTGTTTCTCGTAATATTTCGATATTTTAAGACTTTGACCACGCACTCGTATGCTTTTAGTGCAAATGTAACGTTTGTGATGAAAAAATTCTCTTATACTTCGTAATCTCAGTGATGTTGGCATTCTGTCAAACGTAAGATGTTGTACAAAGAATATAATGATATAGATCGGTCAGTTTTGATATATTTCAGTATAAGCAATACCTATGAGTTATAGTAGTGACTGGAAATCAAAAAACATTGAACACTATGTCAAAAGAAGCAGTTGCATAATGCATGCGATGCCAGGTCATCGATAATTCTTGACATAGCCACGTTTTTATAGCAGGGATTCGTTATTTTAATTATTGACATAATGATGCACACGAGGAAGATGGAAACTTATGGTTTACAGAAGATTTTTGTACAAGAAGGGTCAATCGTATTCAAAAAAGCTAGTTAATATAAGCAGAGTACCCGCTTTATCATTGTTTCAGCAAATCCAAGCTCATTTGTAGTCTGGGTGTTGAGATCTATTCTTTCCTGACAATCGAGGGCTGATATATCGACAGCACGCTGGATTGGCTACTGTATCAAGTCCACGAATTATGATGATTTCACATTAGCTACGAGTTATATTAATCATTGCATATTCTAGGTAACGTAATTGTACCGCGTATAATTATGTCTATTTTCTAGGTTACTGTGAGAAATTGGATTCTTATGTAAGAAGAATTTTGTAAAGCTGCTAGATGTTGATATTGTGAAAGAAGTTATGCCTAAATAGATACTTCAAATTTTAGGTCTTCCACACTAGTGAAACTTGAAATCTTTCACACTGCCTCCAAATAGGAGCTGCGAACTTTGCCAGGTGCGTAGATCAAACAAATCAATCATATAAAGCGAAGTCATAGCGTTTGTGCGCCAAGGTAAGAATATACAATTCTATTGATGGCTCTGTAGCATTCTCGCTAACTAGCTGTCACATCGCTATCGTTTTGGCAGTTTAGCTGCTTACGAGTACTTGTTTCTCTTCTTCATCTTACAGTCGATGTGAGTTCATTTCTCCATTACAACTACACTTGCTATGTTGTTTGCGAATATTCGAAAGCTTGTCTTTCAGCGCCGTCATGCCAAGAGAAAAAGACGGGGAGGTCTTAGGAGAAGAAGACTGGGAAACTTTTGAAGTTGAAGAGTTGAAAACCAAGCTCCAAGGCTTGTCTGTAAGCGCTCACGTGGACACTGGAAACGAATTAGACGCGAGCATGG